GGAATGTCTTTCAGGCCAAGCACATGTAAATGAAACACATAATTATGCAAGGAGCTAGAAAAAAAAAATCCAAGTTACTTGGAAAGTTTACAGCATTCAAAGTCCAGTGCAGCTTACTAAGACAGTCAGTAAGGCTGGGAGTGCCGATGGTCCTAGAAAGGATACTGGTGGTGAAACACCAGGAAATAGATGTTCCAATTAATACTTTTTATAAGAAGTCTTCATCTCAGGCTTTAATGAATATTCTGCATTTCCTCTGTTTTCCAGGTAAGAAGTCAAGGGTTTCTGTGTTTGGGTTGGTTTTGTATTGCATTGCATTGGATTGCATGTTACTATGCAAGCTCCAGAGGTTTCATGCTCGAACTTACTGGAAACATTTTGGGTCATTTTTCCCCTTCCCTGCTTCACTCCTGCATACTACTCAGCACCTCAGAAAAGCAAAGCTTTCTAAGTATAGACATATAATTTTCAGAATCAACTGGTCCCCACTAGCAAATCCAGCAGCTTAAATGCTTGGTGCCACTGGGTAGTGCAAACATCTCACACTCCTGTTCATCCCTCCCCTCTCCAGCCTGCTGTCTCATTTCCTGACATGCAGAGAAAAGGGTGAGTTCTGTAGTGCTTGGGGAACCCTTGTCCCTGAACAGTTCTATTTGAACTGACGGAGGAAGCAAACCCTGCAGTAGTGAATCCCTCTCAAACCGTGCCCTTCTGGCCACTGCTCCTCATCTGCACAACCACAGCTTGCCTTCAGTGCTGTGGGGCACAGGAAGAGGTGGTCTCTGTGTCAGGTTCATCCTGGCAACTGGTAGCTACAAAAACATGAAGTCCACATTTTAGATTTCACCCAGCATCACTCAGCAGCTCAGGCTGGCCATGAGTTAGCTATTTTATATGATTATGATGGGAAACTCCACTTAGCAAGTAACAAATGTGTAGATTCCAAAGTCCATCTAGAAAGCACTTTCACAGTGTAGTGTATATTCTTGCTATCTGTTGATTGGTGCATCGCTTATGATTTTGGGAGGAAATTAATTAGTGAAATTGCTTAAAAGCCCCACACTGTGAATGTCAGCCACAGACCCATTCCAAAAGAATTTCATTTTAAAATTCATCTTAGACATCTTTTGCAAAGGACAGTTCTGAAATCATGCTTCCCCCTCCTTGGATCAGGAACAGCTGCTTTGCATAAGTCAGCTAGTTTCATGTGGCTGCATTCAACAAGAAAGTGTAAGTGGAATATGTATTTTGGGATCCAGCTGGCTACAAATCACTTTACAAACTTATTCACAAATGACATGCCATCTAGGAACCAATTCAACAACTACTGAAATTCAGCCATTTCTGGAACAAACAGCTAACAGCAAGACTAGGACCCTAACAGCAAGACTATGTTAGACAAACAGCCAGAAGTAGAGCACCAAATGCAACTAGATGAAAATTATTGTTATTTTCACAGTGTTAGAACTTGCCTTCAGAGTTATCCAGACTGCTCAAAGTTTTGTCTGCACTAGGATATTTTTTTAAAGTTATCAATGAACTACTAAAATCAAGCCAACACAAAGTTCTTCTGTTAGCTTGTCCTAGCTGGATGAGACAACCTAGAAATACAATATATTTTCCCCTGCCAGCGTTTTACGAAGTGTCAATGTGATAGAAAAACTTTGGAAGAAAAAAGGAAA